CTCCCCACTCCAGGGGAATGATACTGTAAAATTCCCATTCCCTCCCCACTCCTGGGGAAAGGATACTGCAAAATCTCCATTCCCTCCTCACTCCAGGGGAAGGATATTGCAACATCCCCATTTCCTTCCGATCAGATGGCACTCAGGAGACAGAGAATAGATGGGAGCAGGGCCAGTCAGAGGTGGGATTTACCGGTTCTCCCAACTACCCAAAATTTCCGCTACCAGTTCTCCAGAACTGGTCAGAACTTGCTGAATACCACCTTTAAGTGGGGCCTTTTGTGCCCTGGACGGGACGGGCGTCAGACCTTGCCGGGAGAGATGGGCCACTCCCGTTGGCCGAGCAGCCAGGAAAGTCCGGGGCCGACCCTGTCCTGCTCTTCTGCCCCCATCCTCCAGGCAGACCTAGAATGCAGGGCTCCTTGGCGGCTGGCCCAGGGGTCAAAAGCACAGTTTTTGGCTTGACTTGGCTTGGCATGTGATCAGCGAGCCTGGGGTGGGGGGGAGAGATGGCATGGGGGGGGGGCTCCTGTGAATGGTGCTTGTATGGTTTTCGCTAGTGACCCCTTACTCCATTGAGGCCGAACCTCTGTTCGTTAAGAGGTGCAGGGAAAAACTGCCAACTGGGTCCATGTCCCAAAGCGACTTTTCTGGGTCTCTTTTCTGGTTGTGTGAGCTTTTGCTCCCCATATCTCAGGCAAAATATTCCCCCCACTCAGTCTCTTTCTCCTCCTCTTCCCCCCACTTCCCTGCAAGGTCCAGGGCCTCTGAGCACGGCCAGGGGAAGCTGACTCAGCCCAAGCCCTTTCCGCATTGTTCTCCTTCACAGCTGCAAGTAAGCTCCCGCCGCCTTAAAAGGAGGCAAAACTCCAGCGCTGCTTTGTGCCCCCTGCAGAAGAAGGAGCGGTGTGGGGAAGGAGGGGAGGGGAGGCCCACGGCCCGCACGGCAGGCCAGCCTTCCTGGCTTCCCATCCCCACCTTTGGGCCTGGGGGCTGTGCCCTCTCTCCCCCCACCCCACTATAAGTTGTGGGCTCACTCTGACTCACTCTGTTCTTTTGCAACGGGCTGTGGCTTAGACTTCTGTGGCTTAGACTTCATCTCTCTCCCCCCCCCCCGCTCCTTTGACATCTGGAAGTCCAGATGTGCTAACCCCAATCCCCCAAGCACATCCTGGGGGAGAAGCCCTGCAGCCCTCTCATCCCAAAAGACCTTGTGCAGTGTCTGTGTGTGTGTGTGTGTGGGGGAAACAACTGAGTCAGGGACACACACACACACACACACACACACACACACACACCAAAGAGATTTCTCAGCCTTTCCTCCTGGTCTCAGCCGTGGCACTCTGCAGGCGGTCACGGGTGGTGTTTTCCTTCCTCCGAAGAGAGCCGAACTTGCCGGGTTCCAGAGGCGTGGTGGAAGGAAAGGGGCAGGGCACGAGCAGGGCAACGCCTGGCACATTCCCCACCAGCGCAGGAGGCTTGCAAAGCCCCCACCACCACCACCAACAGCCATGCCTTCAAACGCAGGGGCAAGACAACATTCTTTCAGGGTGACTCTGCAGGCGGGTGGGGCCCTGGAGCAGCGGCTGGGCCAAGTCACGGGGGCACCGTAGGCAGCCGAGCTCTGAATGGGACCATTATGAGTGAGGGATGAACAACAGCCCCCCCCCCTGCTCCCCCCTCCCCCGGTTCTACTGGCGGCCCTGAAGAAGGGTGGGCACCCTGGAATCTAATAATGTGCGGGTGGGAGGGTATTTTTCACCTCTGCCTGTCTCCACCAGTCTCCTTCTCCCATGGCTGGCCCCTCTCCTCTCCCTCTCAAAAGGAGGGGTGGGGAATCCAGGGCATGACCAGAGGCGACCTACAGATCCTTTGTAACGGGAAGCCCTGGGAGGAAGTCGGAGGTTGCTGTCCCGGTCTGAGGTTGGGGCCGCCAGCACCTGAGACACAGGCCGGCCGTTGGCCCTTCTCCCACTCCATCCCTATCTGAGTTCAGCCTTGGCCACTTGGCCGCCCAGCTGGGCCTGGAATCGGGGCCTCTCGGCAGGCTGCCCTTGTGAAAACTGGGGGTGGAGGACCTCGGTTCCTGGCTCGCCTGCCCCCGCAGCTGCCTCCGAGGAGGAGGAAAAGGTCGGAGGGACAGGCAGCTAGTGACGCTGGGTGTCCTCCAGACCTTCTCCTCGGGGACCGGAGGGGGATGACCGGACCCTCTTAATCCCACCCAAACATCTGCTCGGCACCATGGGCTTCAGGGCAGGGCCTCCTTTGGGCTGCGGCCACGCAGCCAGGAAGCTAGCGAAGAGGGTTGTGTGAAGGGTTTTGCTGAGCACGCTTTCATCCCTTCCTTGCAAAGCAGGGGTGGACGGGAGGTTGGCACCGTCCTGCGAAGGGTGGCCAGGCCTTTTCTCACCCAGCCCCCTTTTCTCCACAGTCTACTTCCGGGCCCTTGTCAACTTCACCCATTCCATCGAATATAGCCCCCGCCTGGAAGACGTCAACTCGGAGTCTTTCCAGGAGGTGTCCGAAGCGGTCGTGGATACGGTGAGCCCCCCCCACTCTTTTCCCCTGTCCTCAACTCCCTCTCACTCTGGAGCAGATGCCCTGAGCTCTTCGGTACAAGTGGCCCCTGGTCCCCTCTATCCATCGGCACCAGAAGGCGGCCGGCTTGGCTCTTCCTTCCCTCCCTATTGCCTTTTATCCTCACCGCAACCTTGTGAGGTAGACGTCGAAGCATAGCCAGTTGAACACATTCGTTTCAAAATAGTTTCTTATCCTTGGGCCGTCCGACTCTTAAACACAACCACAATTGCTCCACACACACATGGAAAAGTATGAGTAGTTTTTTTTTCTTTCTAATTACTTGCATAGAGATTATTCTTTATGCTATTTATGTTGTTTGTATTTTTTTGGTCACGGATTGCACCAGTGAGGCTAACACCAATTTCGTTGTATACGTAGGTGTACAATGACAATAAAGGCTATACTTAATCTTAATCTACTAGGGACGTGGTGGCTCAGGGGCTAAGACGCTGAGCTTGTCGATCAGAAAGGTCGGCGGTCCAGCGGTTCGAATCCCTAGCGCCGTAGACCAGGCTGAGAGAGGGGCCTGGCTCGGATTCCCACAGCCAATTCTGAGCCCCCCTTTTTGAAGGATTTAAAATTACTCGGAGGTGGTCTCATGGATTGCTGGGAGATCTTCCTCCCATCTTCCTCCTCCTCTTCCTAAGAGATCTTCAGATTGAACCGCAGCCCAGAAGCTAACCGGGGGTACTGAAGCGCTGCCCCCAAAACAGGGTGGATGAAAATAGATGATTTTTTTAAAAAAAATTTAAAAATATCATTAAAAAATTAAATCAGATTTTTTTCCTTTTTTTATTTTTCATTTCATTTCATTTCATTTTATTGACATTTATAGGCCGCCCTTTTCCCTAAGGGGACTCAGGGCGGCTTACATTTCATAGGAGGGGGGGTGTAAGACAGGACACAAAAGAAATGTGAATAAAGGAAAGTAACCAATAAAACACAACATTCATTCGACATTCGGGTGGGGCGAGATTAGGATCTTATCCCCAGGCCTGACGGGATAGCCAGATCTTAAGGGCTGTGCGGAAGGTCTGGACGGTGGTGAGGGTGCGAATCTCCAAAACTTATTTTAATAAAACGCTTTTGGAGTTAAAATCTATCTAAAGATAGTTTTCTATTTGAGACACATTCATAATTTAGTTTGTTTGACATGAAATGGAACTTAGTGGTGTAGCATGAGGCTGCATATTCTACAATAATATTTATGTTTTTGGTAAACTCGTTCAATGAATCCCAGCTCTGCAAGCTATATTAAAAAAAACACCTTTATTTTGTTTGCAAATAATCATATCAAAGATTCTAACGGCCAGCAAAGAATTAGTCCTTACAATTAAAGAGTGCCTGTCATTTCAGATCCCTTGTGGCAGTGCCTGTTAGCGGGCATCCACTCACCTGCTGCCCGCCACGCCCCTCACCTTGTTGTGTCCCTGCCGCATCACCAGCTGTCCCATTAAAGTGACCGGGACAGTTGGTGAGTCAGAGGTGGAGTCACTGCAGGACAGAGACAACAGCTGCTCTTTAAAGAATTATGATTTAAATTGCGCTGATTTAAATCAAGCCTTTTTGCTAGTGATTGAAATCGTGGTTGAAATCGTGGTTGAAGTCGTGGTTGAAGTCATGATTTAAATCGTGATTTAAATCACGATTTAAATCATGATTTAAATCATGATTTAAATCATGATTTAAATGAACGTGATTTAAATCATGATTTAAATCATGATTTAAATGAACGTGATTTAAATCATGATTTAAATGGACTTGATTTAAATCAAATCCACCCTGCCCCAAAGTGTCTGAACTATGTTTCCCCCCCCCTCCTCTCTCTCTGTTAAGCTGGAGTCTGAATACCTCAAGATCCCCGGTGAGCAGTCAGTCAGTGTGGTTTTTATCAAGTGAGTATCTGGGCTGCTTCGGGACAGAGTTTGAACCCACGTCCTCTACCGAAGCCCCAGGGAGAAGTTCACGCTTGCCAAAGCAGCGGAGGTGGGGAGGGGGGAGCAGTTTCGGGGGGCGACCTTTGAAAATTTACCCACCCTACCCCGCAGGGAGATCGATGGCTACAGCTTTGTGGAGCTGGATGTGGGGTCCGAAGGGAACACCAACGAGGAGCAGATCCGCGAGGTGCTTTTCTCCGTGGTGGCCAGCGGCTCCATTGCCTCATACCGCACCTCCCGGAAGGGATTCCAGTTCCGCCGCCTGGGAGCAGGTGAAGCCGCCCGCTGACTCTTAACAGGGGGGGTGCACAAAAGTAGACGGGGCTGTGGTGGTAGTGATGGAAGATTGGGAGGGGGTGTACCCCCCTTTCCAATTCCGCTAACTCTGAATTTGCTTCCAGCCCAAACCCCACCGCCCCCCATCTCTGAGGCGCCGCCAGGTGAGTCAGGGGCCGGAGAGATGCATGGGGGGCCTGTGTGCAGCCCACCGATTCAACTGCCCCGGAGACAGCCGTTCCCAGTTTTCTCTCTGCACGCCCTTGGCCTCCCTGGCATTTTGGCCGGAAGCGAGTCTTAGCAGGGAAGACATTTGTCCCCTGAAGGGGGCTCCGGTTTCAGCAGCTGCTCAGGCTCCCTAGATGGAGGAGGACGAGGGGGGAGGAAGAGGAGAAGGAGGAAAAGGAGAAGGCCGGTCTTTTGTCCTTCTCGGCGCAGATTCTGTCTGGAACTGGGTGTCCACTCATTCCCTTCCTGCTGCACACTCAGCCCTCCCTCCCTCCCTGCCCAGGGCATTTGCAGGCCTCCTTGCACGGATCTCCTTGTGCCCCTTGTGGATGTGAGTGTGAAGCATGTCGATCTTGGCCTTTGATGTGAGCGCTTTGCCATTCTCAGTCCCTCTGGGTGGAGTTTCCAAGCAGGGGCTCCCTGGGACGGGCGGAGCTGCATAGCTAGGTAGCTCTAGCAAACCCCGGGGGCACAGTAGGCACTGCCCGCCTTCCTCTCCGCACACCCTTGCCCCAGTTCCTTCTCTCGCTGCCGTGTTGTTGTGTGTCGCTGAGCAAAACTGAAAAGGCAAGAAGCTACCTGAAAAGTGCGTCTTGCTGAGCTTGCCTAGGGCTCCCAGAAACTCTTGCTGTGTGCTGTGAGGTTTTGTGGGTGGTGCTGCCCTGGATGAGCAAGGCAAGGGGTTGCCAGCCTGGTGGGAGTGGGGGAGAGCTTTAGCTGGATGATTTGGATGTAATTGCAATGTAGCGGGAATTGCACATGGGATCTCTCTTTTTTTAAAAATAAATATATAAAGTTTTTTTTTATTTTTTTCATTTTCATAACAAATATCCACACGTACACTATCACGTAACCAATATCGTTTTATATTGTTAAATGTTTAGATCAATTTGTCTTAACATCAACTCCCAAAAACGATTATTGGCTCCTCTGCTCTCCATACACCGTATTTGTATCCTATCCATCACGTTCTTCTCCCTCTCTCCTCCTCCTCCCTACCTCCTTTCTTCCCTCCGTCATCCTTCTCTTCTCTACTTCCCCTTCCTCTCTCCTTCTCCTCTCTCCCCTTTCCACTCCTCATTTTTCTTATCTTCTTCATCCCCCGCCCTCTCTCCTATCCCTCTCTTCTTCCCTTACCCCTCTCCTTCTCCTCTCTCCCCTTTCCACTCTTCCTTTCTCTCCTCCTCTTCCCCCTCTATGCTCTCTCCTACCCCTCTCTTCTTCCCTTATCTCTCTCCTTCTCCTCTCTCCCTTCCACTCTTCCTTTCTCTCCTCCTCTTCCCCCTCTACGCTCTCTCCTACCCCTCTCTTCTTCCCTTGTCTCTCTCCTTCTCTCTCCCTCTTCCACTCCTCCTTTCTCTCCTCCTCTTCCCCCTCTATGCTCTCTCCTACCCCTCTCTTCTTCCCTTACCTCTCTCCTTCTCTCTCCCTCTTCCACTCCTCCTTTCCTCCTCTTCCGCCCATGCTCTCTCCTAGCCCTCTCTTCTTTCCTTACCTCTCTCCTTCTCTTCTCTCCCCTTTCCACTCCTCCTTTCTCTCCTCCTCTCCCTCCCTCCAACACTCTCTCCTATCCTTCTCTTCTTCCCTCCTCTCTCCTCTACTTCACACTCCTCACCTCATTTACTTGGTGTATTTCAGCTTCTGAGCGAGCTCCATTTTATGTTGATGGTAGTCGTTTGAAGGGTGCACTCCTGCTTCAGAAAGGCTTTTGGCATCCGAGTTTTAAAATCCTAAAATCTGCTTACCGTTTCTTTGCATTCCAAGAGTCGTGGCAAGGGGCAGATGCCCAAGACGAGCCAGAACCCAAAACCAGACCATTGGAGTGTCAGATGTGGGATCCCCCCCTTCAAGTCCTGTCCTACATAACTGCATTTTGTTCAGTGGGGAAGGAAAGGCTGTGTTTCGAACGCCTTCCCAAAGAGGCAGGAAAGGCATTCTGGGTCTTTCTGTCTCCCATTCCCCGGTCAGGTCACGACTCCCCTCCCTAACCCCAACCTCTCCTCCAGTCTCCCCAGAGATCCGGCCCTGCACGGAGGAGGAATTCTCTTGCCTGAACGGGGAGTGCATCGCCCGCGAATTCTTCTGTGACCGTCGGCCGGATTGCCGCGACATGTCGGACGAGCTGGACTGCGGTGAGCGTTTGGGGCCCGTTAGGCGGCTTTGAACTCCTGGTCCCCTTCACTGCGAGGGTGTGTTTCTCAGCTGTGCTTCTCTCTCTCTCTCTGTCCCACAGAGGAGCCCGAGCCCCCCGAGTGTGCCCCGCAGGAGTTTGCCTGTGACAGTGGCGAATGTGTGCCCCGAGCGTTGCGCTGCAACGGCAATCCCGACTGCGGAGACGCTTCTGACGAGGATGGCTGCGGTAAGTGTGTGACGACCTCCGCGGGACAGAATCCCCTGTCAGTCCGCCTCTCCCGTGAGGGAGGCGGGCGAGGTTTGTCTTTGGATGCGGCGACTTTCAAGCAACACAGAGGTAGTCGGGTTTGAGTTCCAGGTGTGGTTTTGTGGTTTGCAAAGCCAAACAGCTGTGTGACACCGAGCCTCGTCATGCCTTCCGCTCTGCCTCCTTTGGGCTTCCTTCTGCACCCAGGCACAGGCTCGTCCGCTGCCACTTTCCACCTCTTGACCCATCTCTCTTCTTTTTTTTAAAAAAGTTGTATTATTTTTTAGTTACAAAAATAAACATTCCATCTTCCCTTATGCAGTGTGTCATCTGGGTAAAAACATAGCTGAGCAACATCATTCCTCTTTTGCCACATCTTTCATATTCTTGTTAACATTCTTTCCCTAAGTTCAGTATTATAATATATTGAGGATTTAAATGTTACGGAACTTTCCCTTCCTCTTCCTCCTCCTCCTCCTCCTCCTCCT